GAGGAGGAGGAGGAGGAGGAGGAGGAGGAGGAGGAGGAGGAGGAGACAACCCGGGGGAGCCCAACATCAGCTGCCCACTCACCATCTTGCCCATGATCCCGGTGCCAACCGTCTCTGCCACCACGTCTTTGATGAAGTCGATCTGCTCCTTCCTGGCAAAGATCAGCAGCATCATGCCAACCAGACGGACGAGCTGGACCTGCAAGGTTGGAGATGCTAGAATGGCTGTTCCGCTCTCAGGGCCGGCCCCGATCTAGGAGCTGTCAAGCTTGCTGCAACAGGACGAAGGAGCTTGGACTTACTTTCCTGTACTTGGCTTTCTGGTGCAAGGCCTTCTCCACGGCCGTCAGCCATTCTTGCTCTTTGTTTGAGTCAAAGTAGAAGAAGGCTTCCGTGCTCAGGTCCAGCTCCTGGAACCTGGAGAGAGAGAGAGAGAGAGAGAGTTTAGCATCTGCTGAGCGTGGCCTCAACAAGCCGACGGTCAGCTCGTCGTCAGCCCTCCTCTGCTTGAAGGTGGAGCAGTGGTGAGAATGCAGTATTGCAGGCTAACCCTTCATTCCCACTGCCAGCAGTTCGATCTTGGCCGGCTCAAGGTTGGCTGAGCTTGCCATCCTTCCGAGTTTGGTTAAAATGAGGACCCAGATTGTTGGGGGAGCAAGAGGCTGACTCTGTAAACCGCTTACAGAGGGCTGTAAAGCACTGTGAAGCGGTATATAAGTCTGAGTGCTATTGCTACTGAAGCAGTCACTTCCAAAGCTAGTTGGTGCTGTTGCTACTGTTTTTGAAGAAGAAGCCTTATTGCAGCCAGGGACTAGTCCAGTACTGTCTATCCATCCGTTCATCCACCCATCCTTTTCCCAGACAGCTCAAGACAACGTACTTAACATTTACAAACCCAGTTAAGGCTTTCCTTCCCCTTTGCCTCCCTTCCCTTCCCCTCCTGGTGGACCCTTACCAGCCCTTTGCTTCTGGGGAATAAGGGGAGGAAGAATCACCAACATGGGGATCCAACTTCACTACAGAGAATAATGTTGTCTTCACCCATGATGAAGCTGGCCCAGCAGCAAATAGTGACACCCAGGCCAGACATGAAGAACTTTGCCTTTCAAAGCCAGAGATGTCATTCTAACTTCTAAGTAAATTATGATGAGAGCAGGAAGCTTAGAGGCTAAGAGGAGAAAGCGAGAGGGAATAAGACAAAGATCTCCCACCCTCCTGAGCCTGGAGAAGCTAACAGGAGCCTAGTGGAAAATACAAGTCAGGGCATCAGGTAGATAAAGCCAAGCATTTTGAAGTTCCACCCGCTTCAACTATGACAAAATCCTGGGGATTATTTGTCTCCCTGTGCCAAATTTAAAGCTGATGATTGCGATGAACAGAACTGGAGTGAATAAAGTCTCCATTAAAAAAACAAA